AAGAAAATTGTGGCTCAAATAAGTTCATTTTCTGCTAGATCAGATTCATTTCTAAAGCTTCCAGGTATGGTCTGTGTATTCATCTTTAAAGTTGCCAGACAGGTTTGTGAATACTTTTGTGCTTTTAGTCTATCACTCTAAAATGCAGGTTCAAAAGGAGGCAAATACTATCTTCTTAAGATAGTTTGACTTATAGCATAGAAGGTTATTGCAGTGCTCACTGGGATGAATTTCAACTGAGAATTATGACAGAAATATGAACAAACATGTTACCTTCTTTCTATGTGTCTTTTAGCTGAGTTATTTACCTGTCTAATTAAAAATTAATTTAGATGAGAATTCAGAGTTTAGGGCAAGTTTAGGAGAACTCATGTCAGCCCCCCAATAGCAGCCCAGAACGATACCAGATACATTAAAACTTAAAATGTTGGCCTGAAATGAATTTTGGTGTAAGTTAAAAGCCTGCTATTTAAGGGTTTCTCCTGCTTTGCTGATGTTCATGACACCTGCTAAGGAGTTGATGAAACTGAGTTTCCACAATGTAATTCCTAATAGTAAGAACCCAAAAAGTGTAAGGTTTTTGTTGTTGCTTATTTACTAATATATTTATCTCTAAGGGAAAGGTTTTTGTTGTTGCTTATTTACTAATATATTTATCTCTAAGGGAAAATAACTATGCCTGCTTTTGATTTTGTCAAACCTGTGTACCTGTGTACAGGTACTTCACACAGCCCTTAATGGTTAGGTTCATTGCCCTGTGTTAATTTAATCTTTGAATCCATGCGTGGCTGAGTGCAGTCTTTAGGAAAATAATTTTTACTGTATTTTCAGGTACTTCAAGGATTTGATTTTAGATCTAGCTTAACTATTCCATGAATAGCTTAACTTTTCTTGTTCTCATGAAAGTAGATTCAATAGAACTTGTTAACAAAGAGGTGCTGTGGTTCTTGGGACACTGTCTGGATTGAGAATAAAAGAGCTTGGGCTTTCCTACATCTAACATAGGACTTTTAAGTATTATGTGAAAGTCATGTTTTGCCCTGTTCATAAAGCATGAACTTTGGGGCGGGTTTTTAGGCCAGGTGATGAATTTATAAGGATTTGCCCTTCATTCAACAAAAGATGATAAAAAACATGTATTATTGCTGGATTCTGCCAGTCTGGGAGTCCACCTAGCTAGTCCACCAAAGGGCCACCGCATGATGGGGCTTGTGAGTTTGAATTTAGCACCCCCCTTTTTGAATCCTTGGAGCTCCTCAGCCATGGGTAGATGGCATGAATATTGAGTCAGGTGGTGCACTCAAGGCCAACCCAACTACCCAACCCCTGGGACTCCCAGGCCCCCAGACTGCACTTTACTAAAAACTTCTGTCTATGTCTGTCAGGGTTCATGGGAGAACACGCTCATGGTCAGGCGTAATGAAGCACATGTGTTGGAAATGGTCTAGAAGCTGTGTGTGTACTTACACGCGTGCCCCAACATAGGAAACTAACACTAACTTCAGTCATCTCTTATTTTTGCTTCTGAAACTGAGAAGGAAGATGAATTTCCTTAGACCTATATGTGCCCTCCACAGAGCTCAGATTGTCATTCTGACACTGCATCTTCCTTAGCACCTGGATTGCCAGCTCTTGGAAGCTCCAGACACCCCTGCTGCTTTGAGCCTTTTCACCTATGACTTTTGTGGGCCCAGAGCTTAGCCCCTTCCCCTCTCCGGGTCTCAGTGCTGACCTCTGTCAGGACGTGAACTACTAACATGGCAACACCTTGCTACAAGACCTTGTGGTGTTGCCTGCCCACCCAAAATAAAGTGTGGGTTACTTTAATTAAAACCACAGTATGTGGTCTTTGTTCCCCTTCTGTGGTAAACTGTCACTTAGGGAAAGAAAAACTCAGTTCCACCAAACAGGATATATGTGGAGAATTGGTAACTGCACACACAGAAACGACAGTAGCCAGGAGCGGAGAAGGACAAAGGAGACCCAGAATTGCAGTGATAGTCCAAACGGGGCTTTGGTATGAGATCAAAAACCCAGTGTATCTTTGGTGCCCCGAGGATACTATTATCTAACATACTCTAGTAATTGATGTTCCCGGCAATGACTCTGGGTCATTCCAAAGAAATAGAATGTTCTTGTACTTGAGACAGGAACCGTTATAATATCTTTTTTGGCTGTCTATGATTTTGCTTTTTAGACTTCCGTCTTAACTATCCAAATGGCTCAAATGTGTTCTACTTAGGAACAAGCCTGCAGTTACCCGGGAAACTTAACTTTTGTGGAAGGCCCTATTCCTCAGCACAGCCACACATACAAACTCAGCTCCAGTTGAGTCCCTGCCATACGTACAGTCAAAAATGAACGATAGGGCCCTCCCTGGTGGTGCAGCTGGTTAAAGCACAACACTAAGAAGCTATACCACTTCAGCATGAGTTCGATCCCCACCCCGGAGGTGACCCACATGGCACGACAGACCTCTCCTGACCCTCCCGCTGCTCCCCTCAGCAGTGTGCTTCGTCAGTCAGCCTGTTCTGCTCCCCACTCTGTCTCTGGTGAATCCTTTCACTGCCCTGCACCTCTGGCCTGTACCCCAGTTCTGTATGCATAAGTAAATAAATCTTTTTTTTTAAAAAATGAATGCTAGCCAGAGGATAGGATACAGTCAACTGCTCTGAATATAATTTAATTTCTGGGAGTATCTAAACAGGAGCACTGCTCTAAAATGTATTTGCCTTTCCAAAACCTGCACCATTCCTGACGATTGAAGAACAGTTTGATGACGTGCACAGATAATGGTGAAAGGCCTCTGAGGCTGCAGGTGACAGGAGGTTTGCTGCCACAGACATGGGTGGGATGAGTTGTAGCCTGCCATCTCTGTCACCCCCAGTGTCCTGAGGGAAAGCAGGAGCTGGGGTGGATCTGTTACCCAAAACCAGTGGTCAGCAACTCTATAAAGAATCTGAGAGTTAATACTTAAGGCCTAGAGTCTCCATCTGTCATCCCATCCTGCCATTACACTGTAAAGGCAGGTGTCGTGGTACGTGATCAGATGCTGTGGCTGTGGGCCAATAACTTGGAGTTTATATAGTAAATGTGGGGACATCTGTCATATACATACAAATCTCTGCAGCAGTAGGAAATCCAAGAGAATGATCACATCTGGAGGTTATCAAATGTCGAGCTTATCAGTTCATGAGTTGTGGGATTTTAGCTTTTGACTGGTTTGGTTTGGGTTGAACAGAGTTTAGAATTTTAGAATTTTCTGAACAGAAGTTAAGTCCCAGGGTTTCCTGCTCTGTGATGTCCTGCTGTCCTTCCTTTGGCACTTTAGAAGGCATCTCTGCAGCTAGGTTATACCAGCAGCAGTAATTGCCACTGTCTTCTGGAGAGCACAAGCTTGCTTTATTAGAACAGTCTTGAGATTATTAGAAAATTCTGGTTGATGGAACATCGGGAACCACTGGCTATTCTGTTTGTGTTGTGATTTTTTTATTCCTCTAGATTTCTTGTTCCCTCACTCCCAAGACAGAGTGCCCAGAGTGTGACAGTCACTGACAGCTACACAGTACACATTTATAGTCACGGCCCTTAATTCTCAACCACCCCAAGGGCGGACCACCCTGGCCTTCTGCCTTACGAGTCTGTGCAACTTCGAGCATGCGATTTTGAGCAGTAGTTACTGTGCTGCCCTCTCAGCTTTCTGGACACATCTTCATTTTTCATGCTGTATTCAACCCAGGTGACCCCTGCCGCTTTTTTTTTTTTAATAGGGCAGGGGTTGTGAGGGCAGTGAAGGAAAATTGTGTAAAAAGAGCCCAGCATAACCACTTCAAGCTTGCACTTGCCCTTCAGAGCCGCCGTCTTCTGAAAAACACAGCCAGTGCTGCTCTTGAATGATTTCCGCTGCTGTGAAGTTAACTTGAGTTCTCTAAAGACAGATATCTTTGAACTAGGTGACGAGTGGCTTTTCCATGGCACCTGTATCTGGTGAGAAATCTAGTTGGTGATGCCGCAGCCACAGAGTTTAAGATAAAGAATTCAAGGAGGGAATCTGTACTTTGTGCGTGGTCAGACAGACTTTAGTTTTTGATTCTAAATCACTCCGTTGCTGTCAGACACGCCAGCTGCAGCTGTGAGGGAGAAAGGGCACGTTGCTCAGCACTTGTTTCTGAAGGAGTGAGTGTCTCTCCGAGACCTGTGACTTGTACTGCGTGTTCCAGTACATAGCATTCAACAAGCATCTCCAGGCCCTGCACCCTCACTCCGGCCCCTTGAGAAGCGGGCTGGGGCTGGGATGTGTCGTTTTCATGGCAGAGCCCCACAGCAGGGTGAGGAAGCATCTTGGGGCTCATTGTCCACATTCTCTCTACTTGCCCCATTGCCCTCAAGGGGAGCAGACCTCAGAGATTCTCTTATTCTGAGAAAATAAACCATTTTGTCCATAGAGCTAAAAAGCCTGGCTTGTTTCAAGAACTTTCCCCATCCTGTACAGTGAGTTAGGATGTCTTAAGGTTGCAGCTTAAGGCCAATCCTAGGTGACCACTGCGTTCTTGTTACCCCAAACAGCCTCAACATATGAGGTCAAAGAGTTTTACCAGAAGACTTGCTCAGCACTCCCTCCCCGAGCCTGTCCCCTAGACCAGAACATAAGCATTTCTGTGGAGACACGGTCTAGCCAGTGACTCCCTAGTAAACGAGAAGACCTGGGCTCTAGCCCTGCCTCCAAGTTGGCATGTTGCTGCCACTGTGATCCTGGTATTTGGCTTTGACAGCCGCCGTCTGCTAGCTGTCATGTAAAGGCTTGGCACTATATCACAAAGGCCAAGTTAACCCTCAGGAGTACGGAGGAAAACTCACTTGTAAGTGAACATAGTGGTTAATGCGCCTTTCCACGAGAGAGACACACGTAAATGCTCAGGGCTCACGCAGATAATTCCTTCACGTCGTCTTGATGACAACACAACACCAAATTTCTGGGTTCTTTCCTCTTTCTCTTCCAGATGCCAGTATGGACAGAATAGTTTATGATGCTTATCCCCACCCACCACTTCCGAGACATTGAGCGGAAACCAGAATACCTCCAGCCGGAGAAGTGCGTCCCACCTCCCCACCCCAGTCCTGTGGGAACCATGTGGTTTATCCGAGACGGCTGTGGCATCGCCTGTGCCATTGTCACCTGGTTTCTGGTCCTCTATGCAGAGTTTGTGGTCCTCTTTGTCATGCTGATTCCATCCCGAGACTACGTGTACAGCATCATCAATGGAATTGTGTTCAACCTGCTGGCCTTCTTGGCCCTGGCTTCGCACTGCCGGGCCATGCTGACGGACCCCGTGAGTATGTCTGGGCTTGTTTTGACCAGCCCACACTCTCCTCTGGCCCTGGCATGGCCACAGCCTGCATGATTCCCCTGACCCTTGAGAATGTGGAGAGCCAGAGGGCTGGGGTAAAGGTGGGAAACTGGACTGAGGCCCCACCGGGGGAACACCATCTGGGCCACAGCCTGTGTGTCTTGGCGAACGATAACAGATGTACTGTGAGGTATTTGCTAGTGGAGCCTGCTCTGTGGGAGGGGCTTGCTGTGGGGGAGCCAGGCTGTAGCTGGAAAAGCACGATAATGTTGGAGACTGGGGCCAGGTGATCGGAACAGAAAGCATGTTGGGGGTTGGGTCCGGACAGAGCTGCCCAGTGAAGGGAGGACTGGAGCCAGGTGGATGTGAAATTAAAGCCATATCCAATTCCAGGAACCTGCACGGAAAGGCCTGCACTTTGTTTGGGCGAGGCTCACCTTTTCCTGAAAAGCTGGACAAGCCTGTTTCAGGCCGCAGCAAGTGCCTCTTGGTGAATATCAGTGGGTAAAGCGGTGCTGTTCTGCCGATGACTTAGCTAAATACACCAAGCTGTGCAAGTGGCTATTGAATGTTGTGTGCCCTGGTATTAAATCCTCCGTCCCTGTTCATTATCTTGTATGGGAAAAGCAAGAGAGTGTGTTATTTGACAAAGACCTCCTATGGCTTAATTATCTCAGTGTGTTGGACAAGCGTGTTTAAATGAAGAGAGGGAGAGTGCTGCCCGTGGTGGGGCACCGCTGCCAGGCCTGATGCCTGTGGGCCCCGGGGAAAGCACAGCAACAATGATGGGTCCTGAACTAGTTTCCTTCTCGAAGGGCTCCATTTCCTGCTGGTTCAGCTGGCAGATTGTTAATCTGCCCCAAGGGAAATCAGCTTGCCCGGCTCAGTCGCGTGCCAGCAGTCTGTCCAGGCAGTCCCTCCTCGTGCACCTGCCTCGGAAGATCACGTACACCCGCAGACAGGCCTCCTGACCATCTGAGCCAACTCTGGGATCAGAGTAGCCTGCAGGACATGAGGTGCGAGACTGTGGCCCCAAGTGCACCCAGTCAAAAGGGGGCAGAAGAGTTTTCCGTCAGTGCCAATTTATCATGTTGAAAATAAGTTAAAGGTTTCTTCAGAAATTTTTATGATGCCCTTGCTATTGGAGATGCAGGAAAAAAAGGTACTATTTTGCTCAGCCCCAGGCACATTGATACCCTCAAGGTGCCCACCGTCTAGAGAAGACAGGTGAGGCTAGTGGTATGTGACAGAAGCCACCTCACAGGCAAAGGGAGGCGCCGTTGCTGTGAGAACAGGGAGGAGGCGTCGGCCTACCGAGGCAGGAGGGGTGCCCCAGCCAGTTCTTCTCAGAGCCGTGGATATTGGCAGGGAGGTGGGGGTGGCAGGGCAAGGGCACCCTGACGATGTCGCAGGTGGATCGAGCAGCCTGCGCTGTAGGGAGACAAGACGGAGATGCGGGAGTTGTTCAGGATAGGGACCAAGAAGTGGGTTTGAGGTGGTGGTGTAAGGATGATAAGGGGCAGTCTGTAGCCCCCCCTGGGGTTTTAATGAGTGAGTGATGAGCTCAGATTGTCATTTTACAAGGATCTCTTTGGCAGCAATGAGGAGGATCCCTGGGAATCAGGAGCCCTAGAAGGCGGTATACCATGAATGGCTGGTTCTCAGTGCCCACTATACCAGAAACTCTTTTCTGAGCAATGAACATACCTGTGAGCAAGACAGACCACATCCTGGGGCCAGGCAGTAAAGACTGCTTGAACAGGTGGTTTCTGGAAGTGACACATACTTTGTAGGTGGTCAAGGAGTGTGATCAGGGTGATATGGTGATGACTTTTCTGGGGTTAAGGGGGCTACTTTAGATCAAAGGACTCTGAGGCACCCCTCTGAGGTGTGCCATTTGAGCAAGATCTGCGTGACCAGAAGCTGTGAGATAGGCAAATGGAGATCTGATGGCAGAACCGACCAGGCAGGGGAGAGAGTAGGTGCAGACTCACAGACGCTAAACACTTGTCTGGCGTCTCTGAGAAACAGGACTAAGACAGGGTGACTGAAGCATGTGTGTGGAGGCAGAGGGCTGGAAAAGGCAGAGAGGCCACCAGAAGCCAGATAGGGCAGGACCTTGGAGGCCTCGTGAGAACTTTGTCTTTATTCTGAGTGCAGTAGGAAGCTATCAGAGAGCAGGATGTAGCCTGATTTTTAAAAACAATGCCCTGTGCTCATGGTGGAACTTTGAGGGTGAGACAGCCGCAGCAAGGAGGTATTGCTGCTGCCTGCAGATGTGATAGTTCGGATGCAGGTGGAGCACAGAAGCTGGAGAGAAGCTGCTGGATTGAAAGTATGTTTTAAGTCACTAATTCTCAAGGCTGGCTGCACATCAGAATCCTTCAGGGACCTTTTAAAAAGTACTGATGCCAGAGCCCCACTCTGGAGATTCTATTTTTAATTGGTCTGGGACAAGCCCTGGATATTGGGATGCTTCAAAGCTCCCAGGGGTCCCTCTGTTCAACCAGGTCTGAAAACCACTTCAGAAGAGCTAACAGAAGAGGGGTAGGAAAGGATCCCTTCCAGAGTTTTAACTTGAGTTTCAGGGGGGACTGGCTGGTGCTATTTATTGCACTGAAAAGTCTGAGAACAAATTTTGGAGGAAAAATCAAGGCTTCTGTGGTAGCCACAGTACACATCAGCAGAGATGCCCAGTGAACCATAGACAGCCAGGTCTGAGAATGCAAGAAACGGGGTGTCGGGCAGGAGAGAAAGGAGGTTTCCACCCTCGGCAAAAAAATGAAGCATCTGTCAGATGCCAACTCTTAAGGGGCCAGCTCAGAGCATATTCTGCTCGTGCCCTCCTCAGCCTGTTCCCGCTGCTTCGCCCTCGCCCGCCTGCTCTCAGTATGCAGAGCAAAGGGGTGGAGTCCCTGGAGCATTGGTGGCACCTTGAGTTTCCAGGGCGTTATTGGGGGTCCAGAGCTCACACTGAAAGCAGACTAATTAGGGGTTCCTCGATAACACAACAGGGGAGTCTGTTTTTAGAAAGGTATCACGGCGGGTTCTAAGGAGTTCCTTAATAGGATTATGGTTTGTACCTCAGGGGTTCATGTTGCCTGTAATTCTTCAGAAAAACGTACATCCTGTGGTTACAAACAATATATAACAATATGTGCCTTGTGGGTCATTGGCTTGTTGGTGTTCTAGCAGAAAAAAGTGCCTCTGGGAGCTCCCATCCAGACTGCCCGCCTGCGTCTCTGTAACAGACTCCTCCCTCTGAACACTGCTTTCTGCCTGGGGGTGTCTGCTCCTTTCCTTTTTTCATAATAAATCTGTTCTTTTGGATATAAACCCCCTCCCCCAAAAAAGATCTCTGTGTCTTCCCCAGTTTCTGTACCACTGCCAGCTTTGAAATTCTTACTCCGAATGTATCATCGGAACACCTGCCACCACCCCAGCTCTCTGGACCATTGATCAGAGCTGACGCCAATGCAGTAGAGAAAGGGGTTTACCTAGCATTTAGCAGGAGAGGAATGACTCACTATTGTGTAAGCCGCCCCCTCAGGGCTGAAACTCCCAATTGAGAAGCAGTAAAAGAGATTGGCCAGAGGGGAGTGGACAGAGAGGTGGGGCCTTGCATGGTTGGTGGGTGGACCTGGAGGTGACACAGGCCCTGCAGGAGCTCTGTCTGACTGGTGTGTGATCTCAGGGTGCCTCTCCTTGCCTGCTTTGAGGTTGTGGGATGTCGTCCAAGGAGCCATTTCTGCTCCTGAAACACCAGAACTGAGGCCCGGAGTGGCCCCACTGGCCCAAAGACAGCCTGGAGGCACCCCTGTGCCCCCACCCAATTTCACCATCTTTTCTTTTCCACCCCTTAGGAGGCTTGCCGGGTCCCCATTAAAATTTAGACTGGGGCTGTGGGACATTGTTAGTCTCTTCTTGCCCAAGTGCCAGGAAACTCTAAAGACAAGCACTACACAGCCACGGAAACTGTAGCAACACCTATAATCAGCATTGCTTTGCCCCTCCTTTCTTTTGACTTAATCACTTGTTAGCCTTATTGTATATAATCTCAGATTCAAGAAAACGCGGTATATACATCAATTTAACCACACTCAGGAAAAGAAGATGCATCTGCCACCCACACCTCCGGCTTGGACACACACACACCCACACACATCTTGCTGTAAACAGACCGCGTGGGACTCAGGCAAATGACTGCAGCCACTGACCCTAGGCTCCGCTGCCGAAGTCAGCAGTGGAAAGATCAGGACCCACTTCAGATGCGTAGGGGGTGCTCCCTTCCGGAGTCTCTTAGCAAACATTTTGCGCGCACACTGCATACAGGATTGCCAGCAAGTACAATATTTACTCGGGCTTTCGCTCGGCAGTGTGAGTTCAGGCCTGTGGAAACACAGGTGAGGAAGAGGCGGTCTAGTAAGAAATGCAGGCTGAGTGCTGGGTGTAACCAGAGGAGGGCCGCGCCCAAGTACCGGCACATCTGGTGCCAGGTGGTGGACCTGCCTCCCCTGGGTTCATTCAGCAGGATGCCATGTTCTCCCTCTTCTCATACCTGCCACTGAGCACATTAGAATTGCAGACAGAAAAATCCTTCTGGTTCCAGAGAGAAGGAAGTGCCCAATTTGGGGATTACTTACATGGCACCTTCCTGTGGAGAAGTCAAGTAGCCCAGGTCTGGCAAGGGAGGTCACCATACTCCTGCAGAGCTATTAGAATTTCTGTTTGGGCCAGGTCGTCATCGTGTCCTGGTCCCGTGACCCTGAAGCAGGGGCAGCAAGCGCTCACCCGTACGGCTTGAAGTGAGTGGCAGTGCGATTCCTTGGAGGCCCTGGTCTCTCTCGGGACCTGTCTCCTGCTTTCCTTGGCGTCCTTTGGACATTGCCATGTTACCCTAGATCCTGAATGCAGCAGACATTATTATCCCAGGCCTGTTTCACTATTAATATTAGTGTGGTGATTCAGGTTTTACAGAATGCTATGGCTTCAAAGCAGTTTTTTTTAAGCCTGTTCAAGTCACTTACTAGAAATGTTTGATAAACATGTACATTGTCTTCTGATAGAGGTATAGGTTCTAAAGTTGGATTGCCTGTGTCCACATCCTGGATCTGATACTTAATTAGCCTTGTCATCTTGGAAAGTTGTTTAACTTCTCTGCTTTAGTTACCTCATGTAAACTGGAGGAATAGCCTAGTCTCTACCTTGTAATTGTCAGAATTAACTGACAAAATATAATAAAGCACTTGGAACTGTGCCTGGCATGTAAGCACTCAATAAATGTCTGTGGTATCATCATCATTATTCAGCTTGGGTTTATTGAATACAGGTGTTTGCCAAGCCGTGAGCAAGTCACAAATTAAAAGACATTGTCTCTCTCTGCCAGGAATTTACAAACCTGTAGAAGAGATCAGTGTAATTAAATGGTAGCTGTTATAATACAAATACTACCTGCCATAGCACAAAGGCAAAGTAATAGGTTCTGTACTGGGTGTGGCCAGGAGCCATTAAGAAAAAAGCAGAGGAGATGACTCTGAGTAGGTTTCTCAGATACTAGAGCTAAGGAGGTACCTGGCAGGTTGGAGGGACGAGCTAACATGGGTTCCTGCGGAGCGTGAGAGAAAGCCCTGAAGAACACCTGCGGCTTTGGGATACTGCAGGCACTCTGTCTACCAGGCCACACTGTAGGGGAAGGTGGTGCCACTGGGTGGGGCCCAGGGCGGCTGTGGTGACCTTGCAAGAGCCCAGCAGTGAGGACTCCGCCACGCGCAGATGCTAGGAAGCTAGTGAAGGCTAAACAAGGGAATGACATGATCAAATCCACATTCTAGACAGTTTAGTGTGGACAAGAGGATGGGGGGAAGGATGGAGGTGGATGTAAGTTGCAATAGAGAGGGATTCAGGAAGGACCGAAGACACTCCCTGATACCTGGGCCACGTGATGAAGTTTTATTAAAGCCTTGACAGTGTTGTAGAGGAGAGAACATGGACTTGGAGGCACAACTTGGGGATGAATTGACCTGGTAGATTAGGTAGGAGTGTGGGGCAGAAGGTAGAAAAATTGGGGGTAGCACTAGATTGCTACCCCAGTTGGGCAGTGGAGACAGTTGTACGGTGGGCCAGGGAAGGGAGGACAGGAGGAACCATTTGGAAAGAAGGTAATAGATTTGGCCTTAGTGTGTTGAATTTGGGGAGTTTGCTTTTATTTTGTCTTTTGACCTACCAGGTAGATATATTTGCAGTTCAGGAGTGGTCTGAGATAGTGCTGGTGAGTTGATGGTCCCAACATAGTGATGGGCAAGTTTGTCCAGAATGAGTACACAAGTGGTGGTAGATGGTCCAGAATGGGCAGGATCTTAAGAAAGGAGAGGCAGGAGGAGACCCAAAGGGAGCAGGGCAGCTGGAGAGTGACAGGGAGGAGTTGTCAGTGTGGAGAACCCAGGAGGCTGAGGGCTAGAAACCGACCTGTGAACTGGTCGCAGTTACTCAGCCCCTTGGTGTGGAGGGGATAGAACTAAGTGAAAGAATGAGAAATAAGCAAAAGAGCAAATGCATAGAAATTCTAGGAGCTTAGCTATGAAGGGAAGTGAGAGTGTGATTTCCCAACTAAAAACAAGCTCTGAGGGAATAATTGGGACTCTAAAATGAGGCTTATGTTGAGGCCCTAGTCTTCAAAAGAGTTCAGTACCTGTGTGTTTAGGGCTTTGGGGGGAAGACAGTGGGATGGGAGATATGGAAAATGAAGGGAGTTTACGCCAGCAGCTCAGTTATCCTGAAAGAGAAAGGGAAGTAGGTGGGAGTTGAAGAAAATATTAGAAGTGTAAGCTCGCCACTAAGGGGAATAGTCGGTAGAGCTATATTACACCTTTCTCCCCAGATTTAAATCCAGTTCACTGTGCAGCAAATATGTGTATAAATATATATTTTAGAAATGTATGAGCATTTCTGGGTCTATAAATTTTTGAAAGTGTCTTTAACTTATGATGGACAAAGAGAAAAGACTAGAAGAATATGCACCCATTGTTAATAGTACTTCCCTTTGGGTGATACAGTTAGAGGGTAGGGCTTCAATTTTCTATTCATATGTTTTTAGGTCATGAGCAAGTATTGCTTTGGGAGTGAGAGGGAAGATCAGAGCATTTTTACCTGCAGGCTCAGGAACAGAAGCCCCCATCCAGGCCTGGGAGGCGCCCGCGCGGGGGCGGGGCAACCCGCAGCGCACACGGGCAGGGGCGGCTCAGCAGGCCAAGCCCTGCCATCTGTCCAGCGCTGCGGAACAGAATTCCTCCCATGAACTAATCATGGGAAACTCTGAAGTCTGTGGAGATAAGCTGGAAGAGCACGGTCTTTTAAAAAGGAGGCAGGGCGGGGAGCACCCGAGGCAGAGACTGCACAGTGGGGGTGTCCCCGCTCTGCGGTCTGAGGGGCCAGCCAGCAGCTGTTGGCCTGACAGATGAGCTCAGATGGGTGGGCAGGCGGGGTCTTGCCTGGGCGGGGATGAGAGTTCTCGGAGGCTTAGGCAAGTGCAGTCACTCCAGAGGGCTAGCTCTTAAATGACATCTCAGATTTAGTCTAAAAGAACAAAATACCAAATGAGAGCACCTTCCTCTTGTAGCGCTTTTATGTGAGACCTGAGCATTTCAGCATAGGAACTTGGGGGAGAAACGTTCAGTCTGTTGCCGTACTGAGCACTGTCGCTATGGCAACCCTCATCTCCACAGGTTACCATGTCTATGTCTAGTTTACCCATAACACTAGCACTAGGGGTTAGGTCAGATGGCTCTGGGCTGCCTCGAAAGAAAAGTCCTATCTGGGCCTTTCAGTGTGGCATGGAACACCCACCTGGGGCCGCCCCAGCCCACCAGTCCAGCCTTGTGTGCTGATATTGGGCTCAGCCCCACTGATATTCTCACTGCCCCCCAAATAAGCAGTGCTTACTCTCTCTCTCTGCCTCCATGATGTCCCTTCTCAGGCAGGAGCTATGTTTACCCCAAAGTCTGCCTGGCACCCATCTACACTATTCCTCAGAACAGCCCTAAAACTGCCCTCTCCCAAGAGGGAGAGGGATGTCCCTTGGCCAGTTGGCTGCAGCTTCTCTGTGCCAAACTGGAATTCTAGAACTCTCTTGTAGGATTGATGTCAGTCTCCAAAAAAAACAAGCCTCCTGAAGGTAGAGGCCCTGTTTGAATCCCAGATCATGGCAAGGAATGTGGGCGTGCAGGCTGAGCGCAAGGAGGTACCCAGCGAAGGCTGGCTGCTGAGTCCTCCTGGGCCTGGGCGTTGCCTGCTGTCCCTGTCTGTCCAGGCACAGGGCCGAAGCCAACTCTGGTGTTTTGGCCCTGCTGTTTCCCCCCAAAGCATGAGCAGCTAGCTGGGACAACAGAGTAGCCACAAGCATCCTAAGAGGATGGAGTGCACTTCTGGTCAGAGAGCAAGCGGAGTATGTGAGGGTCATGGCTGACGGTGGCTTGAGGACTCACTAAGAGCTAAATTCAGACTGACTCCACTTGAAACCGAACCTATTAAGGTTTAAACTGGCAAATTGTGACCTGGGCATACCAGACTATTAGATATTTTGCTCTCTCGAAAACTGTAGCTGATACCCGAAATTTTAATTTAAATTTGTAACTGGTGAGTTGACTCTCATTATACTATTTCCACTGGAAAGAATGGACTCAATGAAAGCAAGTTCAGTAAAATGAAAATAGGAAATCACCAGGAACAATGTCACTGCAGAGGGATTAATTTAGCATTTCCTCAGGAAAATTCTTTGTCAGTAAATATGTCAGTGTCGGCATAATTCTGAACGTGTCCTCTTGTTGTCGGGATGAAAATGTCCAGTCCGTGTGTGTGGTCGGTGCTTCCACATGACCGTCTCCACTGTGGAATGTTAGCTGTGAGGGCCCCAGCCCAGCCCTGACGCCTTTCCTCTTTGTCACAGGGGGCGGTGCCCAAAGGAAATGCCACGAAGGAATTCATCGAGAGCTTACAGCTGAAGCCCGGGCAGGTGGTGTACAAGTGCCCCAAGTGCTGCAGCATCAAGCCCGACCGGGCCCACCACTGCAGGTAGGCACGTGCCGCCAGCGCCACTCCCCGGTGCCGCCTGGCATGGAGTGCCGCTGCGTCGCCCTCCCCACCCCGTGGGTTTGCTGGATTGGAGACGGTAGCTGGGCTGGTCTCGGCCTGTCCCCAGATACAGCTGTGCCACAGCTGACAAGAGCCCTGCACAGCCCTTCACTGTCTCCGTCTTTTCTCCGTGTCTTTAAATTTGGGGAGCTCCTGCCCTCCCGCCTCACAGCGAGACAACTCGAGTTAGGTTGCGGTCACCCCATGAGGGCTGCTGCGGGACCCCCAGAGCCGGGCCCTGTTCACTTGAGTGGTGGCAGGGCTGCCCTCGAGTGAGGACTCTGTATAAAACAACTTCCAGAGGTCGTGGCAGCCTCAGGAATCAGCCAAAAAAGCCATTCCCCATCTTATCAGGAGAGATTTTTCCCTTTTGGTGTTCAGAGTTCTTTGTGGCTTTGAGTCTCCTGCACAAGAAGACATCTAGCTAAAAAGTGCACTTTACCATTACAAGTGTACTTTAAATGCTGAGTACACGCAAAGCTAAAGTCATCATTGTTTGTGACCTTTTTCAGACAGGGGTGTGTTTGGTTGGGAGGGGGCTGTGGAGGAGTGAACCGGCCCCCGGCGTCGGGAGGTCATCCTTGTCGGTCTGCGTTCAGGGAGAGACCTGAACAGCTAAATGGTGGCGTTTCTTTGTGGGCCTCGATGCTCATCTCTGAAAGACTGTTCAGTCCACGGTCAACTGCTTACTGGGCACTGGCACCTCAGCCCACTCTTTCTCATCCTCAGTCATCGTTCGTCCTCAAAGTCAGTCACCCTGGAGATAGGTAGAATCTCCTTAGATAAGGGGTAAGCCCTCGAAGGGGGAGAGGTGATGGCTCCTAGCTCACTGCTGTCGAATAGGAGAGACAGGATTGGGTCCCAGTCTGGAACTGCAGCTTGGAGATGACTCCTGTAACCTAATGTGTTACTTTTTCCTGCCTATCTGAGAGGGAGCGATGTGGAAACCTCCCGAATTAGTGGCCACCGCTTGAAGGTGAGGACTGAGGAGCTTGGGCAGGGCCCCGTGGTAGCTTCTGTCTCCTGTGAGCTTTCTGTCTCTGGGTCGGCTTGCTTCTGAGATCTGCTAGAAGCTGACTTGGCTAGCTCCCTGGGTCTAGGCGGAGGCATCTGTCTAGCCTAGCCTGCCACCCTGAGGCTCGGGCAGCCAGCTCTTTTCTAAACAACACCCACATGAGAAGGCCCAACTTGCTGATGTGTTTCCTCAGGGCAGCCCAGTGTGTGGAGCAGGCTACGGCCTTGGATTTGGAGAGGTCAGTGTTGGAAAGTGCCACCGCCGCCTCCACACTGTGTACCTTGGGTCTGGTGCCACATCTCAGCCTCAGCTTTCTCCTCTGTAGAAAGGCTGCTCCCCCTAAATATGAGTAACTGTGACTCACCAAGCTCCACAGAGGAAGCTGTTTGCTAGTAGAACCCAGGATGTGCTGGGTTTATACAGGCTGCCCCAGGAGGAGGGAAATGGGAACTGTTTTAGAAAAGAACTTTTGGGTGACCGCCGCGAGCTCTCAAACTGCCGCCACCGCCTGGCATTTTCCTTCCCGCCTCTTCCTTGCCTCTCTCCCCAGGATGATGTGAGAGAGAGATTCTTGAGTGCTAGTAAACAAACCAACTTGAGCAAAACAAGAGCTGCTGACTCAGATGAACGTGAGTGAGGCTGCCTGTATGTCGCCTGTTCCTGCCTCAGGAAATGTGTGCTGACAACTGCTCCTTTGTGGTGGCCTGAGTCAGCTGGGTTCTCACACTTGGGATCAGCAGAGTCCCCAGCCCCACGCGGAGCAGGTTTATGGCAGGCTGAGTGGAGAGGCTGCACCCTGCTAGAGAAAGATGAGCGCAGTCCTGGTGCGCGCACACATGGGCTTGGCCCGGTTCCTCCCACCCCAGTAGAGCCCATGGAACTGAAAGCTACCTCCATTCCCAGAGCTCTGGGGTACCAGCAGTACTCCCCAGCTTTGCCCCGGTAGTGGTTCCTTCCAGTCATGGGGTGGGTCTTCCTACCCTGGAGAGGCACCTGGCCGCAGGCTGCTTTCCTGGCTTTGGTTCCCCTGTTCATGAGGACCATGAACGTGTATAGAAATGGGGGCAGGGGCACTTGTGCCACGTGGGCAGCCAAGCTGCTGGCCTTGTGCATTAGGTTCTTCAACAAGGCCAGAGGCCGGTGGCACCGACGGCGCCTCAGACCCCGCCCAGTTCCGACAGCCGGAGACTGCGCGTGTGCGGGGCTGAGTGGCCGCGGGCTGCGCAGGGCCCTTGCCAGGTTCCCTTGTTTTCTCATGGTTGGGATTATTGATAAAGTCCGTGCTAGTTACGTATGTTATTTCTAACCCTCAGAGATGAGAGTTGATTCTGCAGAGACTAATTTGGAGCTGCGGAGTTTCTTTGCCCAGAGCCCAATGTGAGGACCTGAAACAAGCGTCCCTGTCCTTCCCTGTCCAAAGTCATTTCTGAGCTGTGGCCAGGATGTGGAAGCTACCTTTCTGCTTATAACTTTGATCAAAGACCTGAAATATGACATGAAAACCTGTGTGTGGAAAACCTTCTTTGTTCTTCCCTCTCTTCTTCCTGGGACACCCCAATCTGAAAGGTGGATCCCAGTTCTTAGGCTTGTGCGTTCCCCTCTCATGTCAGGGCCTTCACTCGCCAGACCCTGGCTACGCTGTGTGAGTGGTATGTTAGTCTTGGGTCCAACCCTGGGCAACCTGACCCCGGGCCTCCACCCTAGCATATGCTCATCCCCCTGAGAGTGTGTAAGTCCTGCTGCCGGGGAGACACAGGACCCTCACTGACACGGCTGTGCTTCTGGGGTGCATCACCACTGGGGTGGGCAGGAGGCCTAGCCAGTTCCTCTGGGGCTGAGTCCAGGGTGGCTTGCACCCCCAAGAGGGAGCACATTAGTGCCCAGGGACCTGACTGCACAGCAAGCATTGCGCTCGTGGCTCTGCTGAGTGCTGAAGGAGCGCTGGGCAGAGGCAGGGAAGCACCCGCTCTCTGCTAGGACAATGATTGAAGGACACAGAAAAGGAAACATATTTTTTGATTTATAAAAGACAAAACAGAAGACACACAGGAAACCTTAAAGCAGGGACACTGAAAGTACCTCCACTGAAGACATCCAGTCCTTCCAGTGACAGCTTCTGCATGTTTCTCTGCCCTCTTCTGGGCAGAGATGTGTGCCAGGATGTCACCAGGAGAGGGCCTGGGGCCTGCCTTGCCTGTGCTTGTGCTTCCCGCTGTCTCCGGGGAGGGGACACCACTGAGCCCTGCTCTAGGGACTGGGAAGAGGCCTGCCTCCAGGAGACTGCCTTCCCAGTGGGGTGTCGGGAGCTTTTCTCATGCTCATGACGAATGGTGCCTGATGTGAATCGGACAGGGAGTGGATGGTCACCCCTGGGTCTGGGGCAAGCTTCACTGACCCACTCAGACCTGGCCCAGAGCCAGTCAGCTTCTGACCAGTGTCTCCAGCCATCACACGGCCGGGCACTCAGACCCCATGCATGCCCCTGGCCAGGGAGCCAGCCTGTGCTCTGCCCCGTAAGGAACTCCTGGACTTCTCCAAAGGGAGAAGTACCATCGTGGGACTTCATGTCTTTGCAGGAAACTCCAAGACTAGTACTCTGGACCAACCTTTGCAGTTCCCAGTGGGCCATTCAGTGAGTCCTCACTTAATGCCATTGATAGGTTCTTAGAGGCTGTGTGACTTTAGTAAAACCAATGGATAAAGAAAGTAGGTCCTGAAATAGCATTTCACTCCACAGTGGATTGCTCTCTGCCGTCAGCATTATAACAGTGACCTTGAACACAATGGCCTTATTTGAGGACTTGCTGTGCCCACTTTTCCCTGCTCCCTGAAGGATGAATATTTTTCAGTTTGGCTTGTCAGTAAGACAGCCACCATGAAATCCAGCTTCTGGGATTCATGCCTGGTCTCTTCAGCAAGGCCGGGAGGAGAGCAAAGGCTAGAATTGCCAGAAAGGCTTATTTAAACTCTTGGGCAGCCGTCAGAGGCTCGCAGGCCACTTGGTGCCTCTCTGCTGCTGAGCAAATACTGCCTCAGAGCACGCACTTGAAGCCCTGGTAGAAGTGCCAAGGGAAGAGAAACTGCTCAAGAGCCTGGAACAGGGAGGCGGTTACCCTCAAGAGTCTGTTCCCTGACAGGAAGGGGATTAAGAAACCTTGGTTCTGGGGGAAGGACATGTAAGCAGTCAGGTATAGGGGTGGTGGCTCTGTGGAGGGAATGTGCGCCTGGTGGCTGAGGCCCAGGGCAGAGCAGTTTACTGTTCACTTTGTGTCTTTAAAGTTCTATACTGGGAACAAACTTTGTCAATTCAAATACATATGATGTATCCGTACATTTTAAATTGGTAACACAGAGACACACCAGGGAGTAGAGTTGCTGGTACCGGACACAGATGACACCCGTCACGCCCCATTAGCCTCCCTTTCTCACACGCCCCCCCCCCAGGCACCGGGGGATTCTGGGGCTGGGTGAGCACCTCTCAGGCTGGGTGAGCAGCCCCCGTATTCCGTGTCAGTGAGGCCCTCCAAGTTGTAGAGAAGAGCGAGGGTGGAAGCCTGTGTGACTCGCCACTCACCAAGGCAGGCCCCACCGCGGCTCTCACGTAGTCCTCACAACAGTGCTGTTTCTGTGAGTGGGCACCCGAAGCGCGGCAGTTAGTGGCCTAAGGAAGCCCCCCACAAACCGTGGGCCATGCTGAGGAAAGACCACAGCTTCTCGGCCTGGAGCCAGGGGACGGCTCACCCTCACACCCAGAAAAGCTGTTCCTGCACCTCCCCTGCCCCCTGCTCAACCAGAGCTCAGCAAGCACCAGCATGTGCATGGGACACCTGTCCTCTAGGCGGGACCCCAGCCCGCTCTTCCACAAGGCCTCCTGGACAAAGTGAGCCGTGGAAACTAGTGGAAAGAAAGTGGGTACAAGTTAGGAAACTTTGAAAGTGAATCTATTTCCAAACTCATACTTGGAGTATTTCATACTGGTTCGAACAAATGATGGCCCCAAAATCAATGTTAGTGAATCAAAGATGGAGCTGGCTTTGATGCCCCATGTACTGACACGAGGGTCTTCCCAGATTTGAGCCCTGGGAAGTACCTGCTTTCGAGCCCCCGCTAGTACTTGTTTCATATCACTGCTTTGTATGGTGCAAAAAGCAGTGAGCGAGGTGTTTGTGACCAAGTACACTTGAAGCAGCTTCTGTCCAAATCTGCCCAGTAGCCAGTTAATAGTTTGCAAATCAGTGAAGTCATCTGATTCAACATTATACTCAAATATTTAAACTCAAATGACTTTTCTGCTTTTATCAACTAAGTGGATGTTGTCTTAGGGCTAAAAGCCTTCCTGCACTTGACCCTGCTCTGACCTCTGCTAGTCCTCTCGTCCTTAGCCTCCCCGCTCCACGAAGTGGTGCTTTGGCAGGAAGTCCTCCCTTCCCAGATCTTTGGTCTTACGGGAAACAAGGAGCAGCTGTTTTCTCTATCCTCGTTTTTCAGATGACTTGATCTTCTCACTCTTTACCACAGGATAGCAACCTCTTTCTCAGCCATGTCTGTTCCTCCATGTTTGGAGGTGAAATAGTGTCCCCATCTGTGACTTGGGCCCCGGCCCTGCCTTCCAAGCCCCTTGCCACACATTCTCTGGGTGGTGCTGGAGGAGTGGGCTGGGGCCCAGGTTTATGTTCCCAAGGGCCCACTAGCTATATGAGGACACCCCTAAACTTCTGCCTCCTGGGCCCTTTCAGCGTGTGCAAGCGGTGCATCCGGAAGATGGACCACCACTGTCCCTGGGTCAATAACTGTGTTGGCGAGAACAACCAGAAGTACTTCGTCCTGTTTACAGTAAGTCACGTCCTGGGCCCGCCCCCTCTGGAAGCATGGAGCTCTTTGTTCCTTCAGGACCCTCGGCACACTTGCTGCTATTCAGAGTATGGCCTGCGTGGAGGCCTCGGCCTCTGCCACAGCTCTCTTCGGCCCAGCAAGCCCCTGCTCTCCAGCCCTTTGCTTGAGTCTTTAGAAAGCACTCAAGTTGATCAGCTGTAAGCAGGGGCTGTGTTCTGGGCTCCACCCTCAGAGCACCTGCCTTTAGTCACTAAAGGCAGTTTGGGTGAGGATCGCAAGCCCTCCCTCAGCTAAGGGTCGAAGGATGAATTTAGCACAAGAGCTGGAAGGGCGGTGGGCAGCCAGCATCCTGACTTCTCCAAGTGAAAGGAAGCAACAGGCCCGGGGTGCCGGGGGTTGGGGAGAAGGCAAGCTGTTTCTGTTCTTGTGCCATGCCCTCCGGTGAATGGCTATTCACCTCAGACCCAGGACTGGGGGCAGGGGGACCATCGGAATCACCCGTTGCCTCCCACTCAGGCTAACAAGTATGCTCGAGTGGGAGGTTCCAAGTGTCAGGTCCCAGGATCCTGCCTGTTCAGAAGGTTCTCACAACGGTGGTGTCTGAACTTTCCTGTTTCAGATGTACATAGCTCTCATTTCCTTGCACGCCCTCATCATGGTGGGATTCCACTTCCTGCATTGCTTTGAAGAAGATTGGACAAGTGAGTATGAGCCAGGACGGCCCTCCTCGCGCCAGGGGTGGGAAAGGGCTATTTCCATCATGTTAGCAGGGGCCTACCTCACTTGATTTTCTAAAGGCACGTGGAGAAACAGCAGGAAGATATAACTCTTCCTGAAGAAAACAACCCCTTCAAGTCGTCCCACAGGGACAGTAGTGAGCTGGGCACTACCCCTGGAGGGACTGTGCCCCTGGTAAAGAGGGAGACGGTCCCAAGTGGGGAGCCTTCAAGGAGAGAGCACTTCAGTGCAGAGAGCCTCTTAATCAAAGGTTAGCATATGCCAGTTATGCAAGTCCTTTTTGAACTTCTGGCTAGGTGTGGAGGTTTATGTGATTTTTTTGTGTGGTTTTTTTTTTTTTTTTCTTTTTAACTGTTTAACCAGTAAGTTATATTAAGAATAGAGACAAATTCTCCTGCTTTAGGAACATCCCATTTAAATGTACAAAAACTGGGGCCTCCCTGGTTAATTCTCAGCACTATCAAGATATCTGTAACCATTGCAGTATAAGCTCTAACGCCAGACTGGGAGCTGACCCGCATGGCACAGCAGACCCCCTCCTGACCCACCCGCTGCTCCCCTCAGTGGATATCAGTAGTTCCACCTGTTCTGCTCCCCACTCTCTCTGGTGAATCCTCTCACCCCCTACATCTCTGGCCTACACCCCAGCTCTAACATGCAGAAATAAATTTTTGGGGGGATGTACAAATGCTGAAGAAGAAACACTGAAAGACACGTAAATCCTGAGAGAAAAAGCTAGATGCTGAAAAAAACTTAGTTTTTAAGAAATGTGAATAACTAGGTGCTGAAAGAATTGAGGGGCCGGCCACCTTCTGGATTTCACACTCTCATTTCACCATCTTTTAGAAGTGTTGCACATCCTGTGTCTACTGACTTCCTGAGCATTGTCCTGCTGTTATCTTTCCCAAGAACTCATGGCTGTGTAAAGGACAGTCTCTTTAGTTCCCAAACAATATGAAGAGGTCTTCCCTGTCTGTGTTTGTAGTTTGCAACTTCCCCTGGACTCTTCTGCCCTGCCTCTCCTCTGCGTGGCTTGACTCCCACTAGGGAGCAGAAGCCCCTGTACCTCAGCCTGCTCATCCCACAGGAGCACCCACCCTCACGGCCTTTCTCACTCACCACCTCTCCACACAACACAGCATTAGGTATTTGGGCTCCCACAGAGGGACTGAGGGCAACGTTTCACATTTTAACCACACATTTCTCCCTTTTTCTGACACCAGAGCTCTGGCACAAGCCCACAAGAGGAGGCCCAGCTAGTAGGTAGCAGGGAGAAGGGCGAAGGGTGGGGTGAGGGGGTTTCTACAGATGACTCCATTCTGCGTAGCTGAGGGGGTCACCAGCAAGTTTCTGATCACTTGGCAAATGTTCTCGAAGTTCTTGCATTCTGCCAGGCCCTGGGAACCCAGTTCAGCTATAGATGTGGCCTTGGCAACTTGCTAGAGTAGTCCAACGAGGACATTTTATCACAGACATTACTAGCCCGTCTGTCATCCGGTTAACAGTGATGACAGACATACAGACCATCTCTGAGGCGCGTCTGTCTTCGGAGAACTGCAGGGCCATTTTGTTAGTGCTTTAAGAGTAAAGCAGATGGCCTACGGGACTATTTGAGCAGCTCCTTATGTTGACCTTGTAATAAGACTGCAAGGTAGGAGACATTCTCCCCACTTGCAAATGACAAAAGCTGGGCTCAGAGGTTGCGTCCTTCTGAGGAAGCCTCCATCTCTGGAGCAGAGTTTTCCAACCCTGTGCAGACAATTTCAGTGCCAGGATCCTTGCTGTGTCCTCTTTGTTGCCTTTGGTTAAGATTCCCCATGGAAGAGACTCGAGGCTCCCAGTTCCTCTGCTGCCGAGGAGCAAGGAGTGGCGCGCTCAAGAGGAAATCCTGACAGACCTCTGGCCTGGGGCCATCTTCCCTGCGGGAGGGCGGGACAGCCAGGTGTGGGGCAGGCTGGTTCTCCCCGAGGTCTGGATGCCAGAGACGCGTGGCACCGAGAGAATGAAAGTCCCATAGGGCAGGAGGCAGAGCAGGAGCCGTGAGGGCGCCGGGTGGTGGGCAGCAGCCCTGAGCCCTGGGAGTCCCTTCTCTTTCAGAGTGCAGCTCCTTCTCGCCACCCACCACCGTGATCCTGCTCATCCTGCTGTGCTTCGAAGGGCTGCTCTTCCTCATTTTCACGTCGGTGATGTTTGGGACCCAGGTGCACTCCATCTGCACAGACGAGACGGTAAGCGGCGCCCACTCCGCCTCCACACCTGAGCCCCGGGAAAGGCGTTTCAGTCAGGTCTGCAGCTCAGCGGCCAGGCCCTGGCTTTGCAGGACACCGTCCTCCTTTTGCAGTGACCCTGGGTCTTCTTCACACCCCCGGAATCCTGGCCCTTGGGGCCAGCACAGCAGGTCGCACCAGGAACCGGCCCGGCAGCTTTGGTGATAGGTTCTTTGGCCACAAGCCCTTCCATCCCCTGTGGTGCTTCTTCTCGTGCGCTGTGCTCCGACAGGCACGCTGCTTGACAGGGCAGCTTTCCTATCTGGGGGCCCCACGCGGAGACAGGGTGGTGGGCAGAGGGAGCCTTAGTCCAGGCTGCACAGCAGGGCTAGCATCCCAGAGGCGACTTCATGGCGCAGTCCCGAGGGTCGGTTCGAGCGCTGGGCAGCTCTCGCCTGGTCTCTAGGTGACCCTCTACTTCGCGTAGCTCTGAAACATCCACTGCCTTCTCCCCATCCTCCACGCCCACTTGTCCCTGCCCTCAGCTCCCCGGGGGCTCCCAGGCCACGGCTGGGCCGACTGGAATCCACTGCCCTGGTGCCACCGCTGCCACCTCCCCGCCTTCCTCACATGTCAAAGCCTAAAGAGGGTCGGTCCGTGGCTTAACAGAGAGCATTTGTGCTTTGACTCTGTTGCCTAGAGGAGGAGCCCTAGGAAGAAGGGAAGCGCTTAGCCCCGTTGTGTGGGGGCAGTCGTGAGGTCACGAGCCACCCTGGCTTCCCAAGGTCCCCAGCGGCAGCTCTTAGCAGACAGCCCTCCGCAGTGCCCAGTCTGGGGGTGCTTGCCCTCTGGTAGGCCAGGCTAGCTGGAGCACATAGGAAGACGGTGCTTGCCCAGAGACCGCAGTCAGCGTGCCCTAAAGAGAACGATGATGCTCTCCATGGATCTGTGGCCATTTCCGATGTTTTGGGAGGCTTTCAACAGTTTTTTATTCCTTTTATAATATGCAGCCATTGCAAAGATGTTTGTAATATAAGTTTCTGTAAAATCAGTCACTGGTGTAGATCAGCTGTGTGGCCAGCAGTAACTGTGACCAGTTTCTCTGGGTGAGACCTGCAGGGAGCCCAGAGCAGACTGTCAGGCCCGCGCACGCACTGTTGGACTGTCACAAGGCCACAAGGCCCTGGGTTGGTGGAGCCAAAAGAAAACTCTGAAGACCCTGGCCCTCATGGTTCTTCCCCTTGAGGCCTTTCCTAAGGGGATTTGCACTGAAAAGGAAAACCGGAAGTAAAGAGAGGGCCCGCAGCTCGCTGAAAGGGGTGTCTTCCCTGGCCCCGTGTCCTTCCCAAGCGCCGCTCAGCCTGGAGTAGCCTCTTAGGCCCTCAGGAGACCATGGCAGACAGCACCGCCCTGGCTCGCAGGCCCCTTCTCTCCTGCGCGTCTCACCCCCATCTCCCTGAAGGGGGTGAGAGGAGCCTCTTTCTCCCCGCCCCACCACTTTTCCTGAGACTTAGCAGGGGAGTGGCACAGGCGCCTAGACAGCCGCTGAGGTAGCTGCTGTCATGCTCCTGGAAAGAGCATGAGGGCGACCTTGGCCCTGACGACGCTGACCGGTCATCTGTGCGGGTCCTTTAACCTGAACTAATTCTTCCTCCTTCACTTCTCTGGTGATGTCTCCCTCACCTGGTCTCTCACCCCTGTTCCATCTTTGCTGGTGAGACTAACCTCGCCAGAGCGATTATTTAATTTATTTGTTCCTTTTTTTTTTTGTCTGCAAAGTGGTCATAGCAGCTTCAGACTTCCCATGAGCCTGTCACAAATCATTGGCCACTGTTGGCCGTCGTGATAATCAAACGCTCCCGCCAGCTCTGAGGCCTCTCACTCTGAAGCCGTCCACAGCACGCCCCCACGGCCCAGCGCAGTCAGGGCCCTGCGGCCCGCGGCACCCAAGTCTGCCCAGGCGCGCCCCTCACTTAACCAGACACACTGAGTAGCCTAACTAGGAGTGGTGGCTTCCGTGCCAACTGACTGCTCCTTCTTCATGCTTTCCTGGAAGGACTTGCAATGTCTGCCCAGCCCCCACCCTCCCAAAAAGGCATGACTTTTCCTTGAGAAACACTTCTTATATGAGAAAGGAAAGGAAAATGTATTGTGTAGATAGTTTTGTGGTTTTAAAAGGAAGCAGTTATTCTGTTCACATCAAGCTAATGGACACCCCTCCCCAAAAAACCACAGCAATAAAGTGCTTGACTGAAAATATGATTGTTCTTATTTTCAGGGAATAGAACAATTGAAAAAGGAAGAGAGAAGATGGGCTAAAAAAACAAAATGGATGAACATGAAAGCCGTTTTTGGCCACCCCTTCTCTCTAGGCTGGGCCAGCCCCTTTGCCACGCCAGACCAAGGGAAAGCAGACCCCTCCCAGTATGTGGTCTGAAGGACCCTGCCCAGCATTGCCACTCAGACACAAACCACATCACAGCACCGTCCGGCCCGTTCTCACGAATGTCTAAACTGAACAAAGCAGAACTACTACTCTAAAACTTTTTATGTCTCAAGTAAAATGGCTGAGCATTGCAGAGAAAAAAAAAATGGGCCCATGTTTTATTTTTAAAAGATCATCCTTTTCTATTTTTTGGTGACCGAAGCTGCTGCTCTTTTTTCCTTTTTAAAAATCACTTCTCTGGCCTCTGGTTTCCCCTCTGCTGTCTGTCTGGCATGACTAACGTGAAGGGTGCTGGCTCCAGGCCGCGCCCGCTTGCACTAACTGAGTGAGGTGCAGTGCTGGGTGCGGATGGGCCCGTCCAGATGCCCGGCGGGACGCGTAGGAGGCAGTGGCGGGAGTTTAAACCCTCACGGAAGATGGACGCTCACCCCGTGAGCCCTGAGGGGGCAGGCCTGGCCCTCGGGAGCGCCCTTGAAACAGCAGTGTCAGCCTCCATGTGGACAGTTTGCCTAACTCATGAAGCCGGTTGCCTGCCTTGTACTTTTTGGGCTTGGGGTGTATAGGACTTTTCGGGGGCTGGGGAGAGATAAAAAGGGTCTTATTTGTATTCTGAATTACCAATTATGTTCCCTCTATTTGGAAGATGTGAAGGAAAGAAGTTTTGCCAGTTCAAAATGCCTTATACAATCAGAAGAAGAAAAAAAAAAAATCACAGTTTCAGGCGAGCTGCATTTCCCTGTTGTTCTACTCTTCCGGCCCTACCTTCTCTCCCCAAGATGTTACACTGTCAGCGCTGAATAAAACAGCCACAGTCCCAGCACGCGGCTCCTGCCATCGGTTCCTTCTTCCTCACTCTGTGCATCTTTGAAGTGGGTTCACTTTCTGATGTTTCAGACTCAACCATGTGCACGTGGCCGTGTCTTGTATTTAACCAGGGAGACAACTGACGTGGGGTGACCGTGATGCACGGGGGACATTCTAGCCCCCAGACTTTGTAGTCGATAGAGGCCGTGGAGGTTGCTGCCATAGCAGGTGGGCCCGAGGCATGTCCTCGCCTTCGCCTTGTGAGAGGAAGGCTGAGGCTGGCGGGGAGGAGCAGGATGCCTGGGAATCTGAGCACCGACCGCCTGTGAAATCTTAACACGTGGGTTTGGTTTTTCTTATGCGATCGCCACAAACCTTTTCTAGCTTTTGCTTGGGTGGGGTGGGGGAATAGGTTTGTTCGATTCAGTCCTGGATAGGAAGAAGGTTAATCTAGCCTGGTGATTTTTTCAGACAAGTGGAACCTGCTGCCTCTTTTCGATTCTGTCAGTGCTTCCACATGGAAACGAAATGCAATAAAACTTTTCCAAAACTAGTTCTGATTGAGCTCTGCTCTCTCAAGCATTACCCCGCAGGGAGAGTTACCCCGCAGGGAGAGTTACCCCGCAGGGAGAGTTACCCCGCAGGGAGAGTTACCCCGCAGGGAGAGTTACCCCGCAGGGAGAGCGGGTTCAGCAGCCAACCTGGGTGTGCGCTGTTGGGTGCTTCGTTCCTTGTAAAGGATGTGTGTTTATGCCCCCTCTCGAGAGTTTGTTCTTCACCTAAAGACATTTCCGTGCCTGTGCAGTGTGCTGGGGCTGGGCCTGGGGAAGAGACGCATTTCCCCCTGTCTACCCTGCAGAAGACACCAGGCCAAAGGAAATCACTGCAAATCACAAGCATTCTGGAGTGTTGCCCCAGGAGATCGCCAGCAGCCTCCACATTTAACCGAATTGCTCTGCCGCCCTGTCAAAGTTAACCAGCTGCTATTGTGCTTGTTTATATTAGAGTGAGGGCGAGTATAAAGTTTGTTTTGATGCTTTTTAAAACCTAGGGCACGTGTTTCCACGTTTTTACATTCTGTCTACTGTAAGAAATTGACTAATGGCTCTGGTCCTGCTCATGGAGGGAGATAGTTCAAAATCTTTCCAATGCCCTCAAAGTTCCTCATCTTCAAAGGCATTTTTCAGGGAACCAAGTTGATTCTTTTCCCCATGGAAGTTCTAAGGAATGCATGAAACAGTGCTAAAGATACACTGAATTTTTTGTAGCATCCTAAAAATAGCAACTGGTTGTTGAAACCTGAGCATACTACAGCTCTCTTCCCCAGAGGGAAAGGTTCTTTCCCACATTCTGTGGGGTTCTGCTTCTGGTTTTTTATGGACCCTGTGACTGAAAGAATGAGTTGCCCAGCCCTGGGCCACAGTGAGGCAGCTGGGCGACTGGAAGACGCAACGCAAGGTGCCCTGTGCCTCCCGCCACACTTCCATGCAGGTGGACAGCAGTTTGCCAAGAGCACGGCGACTAAGGAGTGTGGCTGCCCTCTGCACTGAAGCGGCTGGCCTCAGCTTGCTGTCCACACGGGGACAGGCTTCCCTGAGCTCACCTCCAGAGGACGGACACCTTGACATAACGGCTCTTCGCTTGGGCACGCGGGGAACGAGCCACACGCACCAGCTGGGCATGTGGGCACTGGCGGCGGCATAAACAGTGAGGAGGGGGCCGACCCGGCGGGGTGGGCTGAGGAGCTGCCCATCAGCTTCCTTTTGTGTTG